GAGTAAATAACTATTTCAGATCATTATAATTTATATAAAAATTGCTAAACATAACTGAATGGATGCCTGCATCGCTATTTCGCTACCGAGTTATCGCTAAAGTATAATTTCATTTCGTTGGTTCTTTAAACAATTTTCTATAATGAATGATGCCTTTTCTTTGAAAACATTCTCGGTAAAGTGCAGAATCGCCCACATATTTTTTTACCGCTTTTTACAAGGGTAGAAACAATTGGATTTTTGTCAATTTTCTTTTACTTTTTAAGTGAAAATACGTCGATGTGTACATAGATAAAGTCAAGGGTGTGCGCAGTGCCATTTTGTGCAATTCTGGGATTTTTTTTTTAAGTGAATATAGGTCGATGTGTACATGGATACCAAGTATGTGCAATTCTTAAAAACGCGTCAAGCAGTGGATGATTCTGCACTTTACCCAAAATTCTATTGCAGACTTTTCGTCATGGGCAATTCCCAAATTGTTAAATCCATAGGATTTCAAAAAAAGATTTAAAATCAAAAAGGATTTAAAAATTAAACTAGTATTTCAATGGCGTCTTAAAAAATATAGAACTATATAAACTCACGCAATCTGAAATCAGCGAGTACGTTAGATCTGGCGCGCTGTTTAAATGGGCGCGTTTGCTAGATTTGGCGCTTTTGCGCATACATTTTCGCTGCAATTTTTTGACGGTCCTCAAAACGGAATAGTACCAAAAATACTTATATAATAGGCACATAAGTTATTTTTACATTCAAAAAGGACCACCTGTTTTCGGTTTAGAAATTCATTAAAGTATAAAATGAAAAATCATCAATCAGTTTAAAAGAAAGACAACGATTATAACAGGTTATTTCTTTAATTAAGACACAATAACACGCCGAATAAATACTAATTCAGAAGTCAAACAACAAAAATCAGCGTTATATTCACAAAAGTTTCACAGGACTAGTTTCGATGGTTTTACCGAACTTTAGTTAGTCTTTCAGAAGAACAAGAGAGAATTCTAAAATATAATTTTAACTTCTCACAAACCTGTAAACTCTCGATTCCAAAGATTTTGGCTCCTATCGAAAAAGCTTTCAAGTTCAGTAAAGTTTCAGATTCACAGAAAGAAATGATTAGGCATCTTATCGCTCATAATGTGAAATTCAATAATAAACCTTTGAAACCAAATCTAACTGCGAGAGAAAGAGCTATAATGCGCGAAATTCATTCTAACCCGGATATTATCATTTCAAAGGCCGACAAAGGTGGCCAGATAGTCGTCATGGATAAGAACACTTACATCGATGGTGTCACTAAACTCTTAAACGAAGGACCATATAATCCGATCCCTAAAGATCCTTCACCTTCGGATTTGTCAAAAATAAAAACTGCGATCAAATCTTCGCAAATCATTTCAAGCAACTTAAAACATTCGCTTATCCCATCTGTTGCGAATTGTGCCAGATTATATGCTCTACCCAAAATTCATAAAAGTGGTATTCCTTTCCGCCCTATTGTATCAAATTTAGGTACTGCCTCGTATCCATTAGCTAAATATTTAGTTTCTAGATTTTCCACTCTATTAGACAATAACATTTACACCATAAAAAATTCAATAGAGTTTGTAAAACAGGTTAAAAACATTTCTCCTAGTAATTTATTCATGGTTTCTTTTGATGTAAAATCATTATTCACCAATGTCCCAGTGGAGGGTGCATTAAGATGTCTAGAAACCAGACTTCGCGAATTTCATTTCTCTTGCATCGAAATTGATGAGCTAATTTCTCTCACTCAACTCTGTTTGAAACAAACACATTTTGTTTCCCAAAATAAATATTACAAGCAAACTGAGGGATTAGCCATGGGAAGCCCCCTCAGTCCCATCCTGGCTGATATCTACATGCATTATTATGAATCAAAATTGTTTGAAACTTTAAACTTCCCGGCATGGTTCCGCTACGTAGACGATACTTTATACCCTGTTGAAGGTAATAAAGATGATTTAAATAAAGTTTCTTTCAACAATGAATTCTATTGATCCTGCTATTCAGTTCACTTTTGAACTTGAGACTTGCAATTCTCTTCCGTTTCTCGATATTCTGGTCACACGTAACACATCCAACTTCAGTACTACAGTTTACCGTAAACCTTCATCGGTTTGCCTTCCACCACACTTTAAATCATGTCATCCGACTAAACAAAAGTTAGCTTCATTTTATTCCTATGTTTTCCGTGCTCTTCAAGTTTTCTCCTCCAAACTAGCCCTTGATGAAGAACTAAATTATTTAAAAGCAATAGCTATTGACAGGGGCTTTTCACCCAACATTATTAATCAAGCAGTTAAAAAATTGTCATCTCAACACACTAAAAGCCACACTCTTATTTTAGGAGATTATAAAAATTCTGTTGTCATTCCCTTCTTTCCATCAATTAGCTATAAAGTTGCACATATTTTGCAGAAATTTAACTTTCGGGTTGTTTATTCTCCCATCAATAAAATTCCAACTTCTATACTCAAGGACCCCATTCCGGATATGAATTCCTGGGGTATTTATAGGATTCCTTGCCAGTGCGGTTTAATTTGCATTGGCCAAACTAAGAGAGCCTTAAAATTTCGCGTCAAAGAACATGAGGCATATGTTAGAAAAAAGGAAACACAGAAGTCTTCTGTTGCTCAACATTGTTGGTCCGAAAATCACACTTTCAAATTTCTGCTGCCAAAATTATTCAAAAAACATCTTCCATTGGAGAACTGGATTTTCTAGAGGCATTTCACATTCATAAAAATCTTTCTGTTCTAGTTAACGATCCTAATTCCAATCCAAATTTGCCTTCGGCTTTTAGAGAAATTATGTTTTAGTTCTGGTTTCGCCAACAGATGGCGCCACTTGCTTATTCTTGTCCAGGCTTTCTTATCTTATCTAATCATTATTTCCTATCTGGTTCATTTGCGGTTTTGCAGCTGAAGATGATGGTTCGGTAAAACCATCGAAACTAGTCCTGTGAAAATTTTGTGAATATAACGCTGATTTTTGTTGTTTGATTTCTGAATTAGTAGGTTATTTCTTTGTTATTAAAAGTAAACTTTGAGAGAAAGATTGAATTGGACCGATTAAAAACTTCGGAAGAAAGATTTGGAGTAGAATAGGAATTTGGATATATGTAACAACATTTAACGATTGCAGAGTTTACTGACAAGATACCTAATTACGTTCATCAGAAGATTCTTCATTCATGAAAGAATACAAAATATTTAATATTGGTAAATTTTAAAAGCGGCAATCGACGTCCGATTTACAAACTGGATGCCAAAGGCAAAACTTGGTACGGAGATCTCGCTTTCTAATTTTTTAAACTAGAAAAATTTCGTGGATGGGAAATATGAATATGCTTTATGAAATAACCTTTAATTCAAATTTTTTTTTATTCATAATTGTTTAACCCCCTACCCCAAGAAAACCAATTTTTTCCCTACGATTTGCTTTCATGGTTTCAGGTATAGGTATGGTATGGTACGTAATATAAAATTACGTTTAAACGACGAACTTATGAAAGAAACTGAAAAAGGGAACAGCTTGAAGAATTCTCACCGATTTTATTAGAAAACTTAAAATGCATTAATTAAATTATATCTGCGTAATTTAACTGTTTGTAAATTAAATTACTAAGTATTTGCATAAAATGTAGAATTAAGAAATTTAAGTTTTTTCTAAACATTAAAATCATTTCTGTTGAAATGTCAAATTCCTGGTATTTATTCTCGACTACCGTAAACATTTTTTAATTGCTAAAATGCCATTTCGCTCATTATAAATAATTTAATTGCATGCTATTTAATATAATCGAAAAGATTACAATTCTTTTTTATATTTCAATTCTCAGAAATTAAAGGGTATCGAAATCCGCATACTTGGACACACCCTTTCTTACAGTTTACCGCAACTTGTATAGAACATTGGTGATTGGATGTAGAAAGTAGCGAAAGGCATGAAACAAAGGCCGCAGTGTCCGATTTTTAAATAAAAGCCACAAAAATTAATGTACCACACTTAATATTTTTTCGTTATTTTGATATTTTTAAAAGACAGATTGGTCAGTTTGAGTACGGTAAAACACTCGAGGGCTATCCGTCCGAGGAAAGCGATATTCTCATAGCGGACTTTTTAAAGGAAACTTGCTCGTATTCACATTACACAGTGGTAAAACCCCGAAGACCAGCCATTTAACCAGCACAATCGTCTAGGTTTGAACTCTGGACGAGTTAATTTTCAGCAGTCTTTAATCGCTCGGCCGCTAGTGAGGCATGAGATAGTCATAAGTAAATTTATGACTTCAGGCAGCTTAATACTCAAAAATAACAAGATTGTGGGTCTCCACTTTTTGATAGTCATTTATACTTAAGTTACGGCTTATCACTATTTTCTTCAGAAATTAAGTTACATCTTCAAAAGTTAATAAGAGAAGCAAAATGTAGGGGGTTATGTTTTATTCTGTATAAATATAGTTAAGTCCTTGTTTTTTTATCGGGTCAGAAAAAATGCTGTTTCATGCAGTTATGTAACGCAGATCTGTCAGTGACTGTTCAAAAGCAGAGATATATATTCATCATTTCAAAATACACCTCCGTTTAATATATCTATATAAGTAAAACATTCCATAATAAAATTCTTTGTTAAAAAAACTTGTAATTTTATGCATTTCTGCGCAGAGTAAGTCTTTGAATTCATTACAAAATTACAGAAATGCAAAGATTTAAAATGTTCTGATTTTTTAATCTACCTCTTAGGATAATCACAATTTAAAAAATTAATATTTGATATTAATAGTTTTCGTTATAAGGACAGTAATTATCTTATTCGACTAAATTTCTATGCAATGATACATGTGCCAAAGTTGCCCTTTGGCCACCTTAATTTTTTTACAATAATGTCCCCTTATTGAAACCACTGTTAATAAAATGTTTTTAAAGTGTACCATTCATTCTATTTAGTTTTTTTTTTTTTTTTTTTTTTTGTTGTTGTTGTTATTGAAATAATTAACCTAAGATATTTTTAATGTTTAGAACAGTTATAACAGCCGATAATTTCCTTATAATGTGGAAAAGTAAATACGTGCTACTTGTTTAGCGAAAGAGTTACCTTCGTTAAGGAATTTAAGGGAACTTACCCCTATTCTCATTAACGCAGGAAAAAAAAAATCATGAAAGTTCCCATCTAATCAGCCTGTTCGCAGAGATTTGAAATTGGGTCGAAACTAGTGGACAACTTGATGGGCCGGCACCGTCGAAATGGCTGGATAATGAAAGTATGTTTGGTTTTTCGCTGGAGGTGTTAAGTTGGAGAATATATCGTTTTGAAGAAAATTGTCACGTATTGTCCTGTAACGGGAAAAACACTGATCTCGCTCGTAGGAATTTGAGTCTTAAATGAATTTAATACATCTTTTCAAAAAATATATTTTTAAAACACACATATACGGCAAATTGAAACACTTAAGTTACAATAAAAATGCATAATGAATTTGATTTTCATTTCATTCATACAACGGCAAAGATTAAGGGAAAATTAGATTAAACATTACGGACCGATTATCCGGAGCTCAATGAAAATACTGTCGAATTTTTTAAATTAAAACAATCGCGTGTGAAAAATATTGAGCAAACATTAAATGAAGGAACTTTTAAGATTATAAAACAGAGGAAAAACGTATAAGTGAAGCTAATTTTTTTTATCCAGGAAGTGAAAGGAAATTTAGCGGTCAGACAAAGAACCACAGATACGCATTACGACACTTAATCACGCGAAGTGTAAAATTGCACGAAGAATGAAACTTTCATTTAACAAAATAAAACTCAATTAATTGCTATTCAATCATAGCAAAGAATAAAAACTATTAACATTCGGTACTTCCAATAAACGCACTACCATCCATCAAGGAAAAATCTTGACTGAACAACGCGTTTTGCAAGCAACCTTTGGGAACCCCCAACATTTACCCAGCTTAAAAACGCGTGTACCGTGGAATTCTACTTTTCAGCATCGATAGATCTTCAACCAAAAACAAAATCGAAAGAATACATTACGAAAGTTTTTGATGTTTCATCTTTTGAGGGTCTTTTGTTCCACAGTATTCAGGATATTACGTGCAGTGGAGACGTTCAAGGTCTACAAATGATGGATTCTATTTCAAGGTTATAAGTATTAAACGTTCGGTTGATTCATACTTTTGTTTTTGCGATTCTTAACTACGTGGGCACGACATCACGCTTTTTTACCAACAATTTTCAAACATATATTTGCTTTTCGAACGCGATATATTAAAAGAAATTACTCAATCTTTCTTGCAACTAACTGGTTGAGACTGAGCCGAAAAGCAACTTAGTTTGATGTTTGTGGTCGAATTTGATTAGCTGATGAAAGTTAATTTAATGATTATCATCTGTTTCAGAATAAAATGCCCTTTGAGAAAAATTATTTCAGAAATGATAAATCATCTCAAAAATGATGTCACTTTCAACATTTCTGTGTCTATAAACTAATTTTGAAAGCTTATAGAAAAATAATTTCCAGGAGCGAGTTCTATTAGGTTTTGATATAAAGCTCAGGTTCATTTAACATAGTCTCATATTTTATAGATGACTAAATCTTCACTCGAAGTAAGTTCAAAATGTAAAACCCACAAATTAAAATTTTGGAATAAATAATAACACAAATTGGAAGTATTTGGCCTGAATTTAATATAGTACTTCCAAAGAGAACACTTCAATAGCGACAGATGTTCAAAAATTAAAATCACACCAATTTTATTCAGGCATTTCTGCCTAAAAGGAGAAATAAAATTAGTAGTTTTCCCTCACCAGTTATTTTTTCAATGTGCAATCTTGATACTTTTCAATAAATTTAAAAAAAAAAAAACTAAGTTTACATGTGTGCTTCAATCAAACTTTCTTCGCAATCTGTTACGGCGTCCACTTCCAATTTAAAAATTCACTTATTGCAAACACTTGGGAAATTCACATGTTTCGAGCTGCCTAGAAACTATTATTAGTTATTGAAGCTGACGGCCGTACCGATAGGCTTGGATTCGAAACCCGGAGAAGGCATGGATGTTTGTAAACCTATAGTTATTTGTACAGCATGGAACACTGACTGAACTCTAAATATACGGCGAATCGAAAGTCCTCCAGTATTTGGTGCAAAGTCGGGCTTACTTTCTACCTCTATGGTTTGGTGCATGGAGGTAAGAAAGGAAGGAGTGGCCAATCCGGCATGAGAAGTGAAGCATCGCTCCGAAGCTTCGGTCACCAGATGGGGTGTTTTTTTGTTTACAGACAGAAGCTCGCTTGACGGCGCTCTGATAGTATTTCGACACACGACAGTTCCATACAAATCGAAAAACGGGACACTTCTGCATAAAAGAAAAATTCCCAGTGTGATGGATAATAGCAATTTGTATAGTTTAGTGACATTTACGCAAAAATCATATCTTGGTTATTTTTCGATAACTAACAGCGATTTTGATTATGAATTAGTTTTATAAAATTCTAAGCTGCTGAACTACAAAAACAGATTTTAACAAAAAGTTATGCTTAAAGAATGAAAAATACCTCACCGTACCTTTAAAATTGTATATATCTTTCGATACCCTTGATAGAGTATTCGCTACTTTTATTTTATGTTCCAAATGCAAAAATCTTTTAAATAAAATAATTTTTTTTTCACATCCACACATTATTGTATCATGTACTTTTTTAAATTAGTGTAAATTTCTTTATTCGAAAAATATAGCGAATGCACAGAAATTAAAGATTTCCACATGACGGAACTGAAAAATGGTATTTATGCATGTGCTTTCAAAAGCATGTATCTGCATTTAACAAAACACGTAAATATTTATTAAATTATTTATAAATGTATTTGAAGTAAAGATTTATTTATTCATAAACAACTGTGAAAGTTACTGTAAAAAAACCTAATTATTAAATGTATTTAAATTTATAATGATTATAAATATTATCTAAATATATATAATAACCTTAACATTGAATTGTAAACATAAACTGACATCCTGTTGACAAATGCGTTATAAAACTAGTTAAGCAAGAATTGTTCGTACTGGAAAGCAATCTGTTAAAAGGTATTGTAAAGCAATTTCTATGAGATGCATATTTAAGAATGTAATAAAGAAGAGTTTTGGAATATGTATTGTTGAAATCAAGGGTAAAAAAATCTAATAAGTATAATTAAAAGAATTATTCCCCTTAAGTTTTACAATAAGTCGGTTACAAGTTTTAAATAATATTTAAAAAATAATTCTTACTTTGTTCTCTTTCAGAAATATTCAGAGAAAGTTAAGTACTATTTAAATTATTTCGCTATTAAATTAAAAGGTGCTCTAATTTGAAATGGACCGAATAGAGCATTAATTATAAATTGACTTAGTTTTCGATTTAAAAGATGCCTCAGAAGCTAAAAAATCATGTCATATATGAGAAAGTATTTTAGGAAGAAGCTCTATAAATAGAAAAGAAATAATGCATAGTTTTAATAATACAATAAACTTTGATCTTAATTTTTGTAATCTTTAACCGAATCAAATCGAATTACCTTAAAATTTTTTTCTAATGTAATTAACGAAAACTTGTGAAAATATTTCAAATTAAACCATTCTGAGCAAATTGTTCTGTGAAAAGTATAACATTTAATTCCGTTCAGAATGAAATGTTGTTTAAAACTGTTTTCTTTTCATATACTTAGGACTCTGAAGTATTGTAGAAAAAGAAAATATATACATTTATATGCATATTTACGACGTAATTACAAAACATTTACATCCGAGAGTGTCAAAACCCATTGAACTCAATGGTAAATTACCCAATGTTTTGGTCACCAAAGAAGGGATCCAATGTTTTGGTCACCAAAGAAGGGATCCAATGTTTTGGTCACCAAAGAAGGGATCCAATGTTTTGGTCACCAAAGAAGGGATCCAATGTTTTGGTCACCAAGAAGGGATCCAATGTTTTGGTCACCAAAGAAGGGATCCAATGTTTTGGTCACCAAAGAAGGGATCCAATGTTTTGGTCACCAAAGAAGGGATCCAATGTTTTGGTCACCAAAGAAGGGATCCAATGTTTTGGTCACCAAAGAAGGGATCCAATGTTTTGGTCACCAAAGAAGGGATCCAATGTTTTGGTCACCAAAGAAGGGATCCAATGTTTTGGTCACCAAAGAAGGGATCCAATGTTTTGGTCACCAAAGAAGGGATCCAATGTTTTGGTCACCAAAGAAGGGATCCAATGTTTTGGTCACCAAAGAAGGGATCCAATGTTTTGGTCACCAAAGAAGGGATCCAATGTTTTGGTCACCAAAGAAGGGTATGGGAAACTGGTTTAGGCCCACTCCATCCAACTTCCTACCTCCATGGTTTGGTGGCAGGGAAAGAGGAGTAGGATATCCCCGCCCCTCAGGGTACTCATTTTAATTAGGGCGAAACTGAGCAAAGTCGTTCTGTCACCTACACAGTGCTCATGGCTGATGCCAACGACAAACACGATCTCTTACTCCTTGTCAGCATAAAATTCGTGGGCTTGTTCTGATTAGATCAAACAAGTGAGATTAGCAACAACATTTCTCGAACTAACACTAATGCTATAAAAATTCCATGATAAAGAATATAAATTCCTGATAAGAAAACTTGCGTTAACCTTTTCCCGTGGGATTATAGAGTCCAATTTTGTAAGTATTAGCGGAATTTAGTCACCTGTTTTAAAATGCCCTTTTGACAGGATGAAAAGAAAAAACTAATTGACAGGATCTTGAACTTCATATTCCATATTAAGCAGCCAATTTTAAATCTCCATAGTTTACTGAAGTTTGAGACATATGCCATCAGCCCACAGAAAAAGGTTAATAAACTGAAGCAACCCTGTTTTGAAGACATGGGTACATCTTATTGAGATTTTATTCCAGGTTCGTTGGTTAATAGTATTTAAGGGTTATTTGCATAACTGGAAGATTGATTTTCAAAAGTAATCTTTCGTGCATCGCTTCGTTCATAGCAAAAATCTTATTTTAAGTAATGCACGTTTCAAGAAAGAAAATTTGCATTTACTCATAGAATCGTAAGGATTATGGAATAATACCACTGTATTATTTAACACAGAGTGTCATCGTACAGTAATGATATATTCCTGTTGATACTATTAAAAGTGTTATATTTAGAGTATCGAAGTGCAAAATTAGCATAACTTTGTGCATATCATTTACATTCTTCTGCATAACAGCATTGACCATCAATATAAATAATTTAGCTCAGTCGGAAATTAAAAAAAAATTGTTGCTGTTTTACATAAGTTGTATGGAGAATAGTATATTTATA